GTTTGCCATTTACCCAGCACCTCAGGTCTCCACAGCCGTGGTCGAGCCCTACAACTCCATCCTGACCACTCACACAATCCTGGAGCATTCCGACTGTGCTTTCATGGTGGACAACGAAGCCATCTACGACATCTGTCGGCATAACCTCGACATTGAGCTGCCGACGTACACAACCTCAACCGTCTCATTGGGCAGATCGTATGCTCAATCACTACCTCCCTGCGATTTGATAGGGCTCTAAATGTGAACCTGACGGAGTTCCAGACCAACCTGGTCCCGTACCCTTGCATCCACTTCCCCCTGGCCACCTATGCCCCTGTCATCTCTGCCGAGAAGGCATACCACGAGCAGCTGTCTGTGGCTGAGATCACCAATGCCTGCTTCAAGCCAGCCAACCTGATGGTCAAATGTGACCCTCGCCACGGCAAGTACATGGCCTGCTGCATGCTGTACCGGGGAGACATGGTCCCCAAAGATGTTAACGCCGCCATTGCTACCATCAAGACCAAGCGCACCATCCAGTTTGTGGACTGGTGTCCAACCGGATTTAAGGTAAGAGTGGGTGGTAGTTGTACCTCGCAGAAAGTGACAGATTTGTGAGATAGTGCTGTTCCCTGGAGAGAGAGTCCCTCTCCCATGTCTGCTAGGGTCTTTCTTATACATGAGTGAACTAGAATGAGAATTTTATTCCATTTGGTTTGTGTTTGTTTGGGTTTTGTTTGGTTGGTTGGTTTTTTAGTGATAGAATTGGTGTCAGGAAAAAGATGGGCACTTGTGTGAAATCTACTGCCTCTGGAAACCCTTTGGAGGGTCAGCTGTGAGTTGAGTTCTCATTTGATGGTATATATAGCAGCCATATTAGGTTATGAAACATTAGTTAATCACAGACATGTAAATATTTTCAAGGAAAATTTTTTTGGATCACATGTGTAATGTGTACATAAACTGGTAACTTTCACTAAATCTTGGTTCATTTCATTTGGAAGAAATCAAATTCCAACTGAAAGTCATAAAGGAGTTTTGACTTAGTAAGGACAATGATGTCATCTTGTTTTTCTCTTGGTTGAATAGAAATTCTGACCTGATTGTGCCTAAAACACATTTGCCCCAGCCTTACATGTGATCTGTGCTGGAAATCTGACTGGTACTTCCTGGTTTTTTCCAGGACTTGATTTTTTTTTCTCTCCCTTAGAACTGTCTTTGGGCCTTTTTATCTCTCAGTGATGTCAGTTTGAGGAGTACGGTGCACTTCATTCAGGCCATGATCTTTTCAATCACTTTCTATGCATCTGTGAGCTGGATGGCAGGACAAGAAGAAATGAAGAAGAGAGCTGAATATACCACGGATGGCCAAAAGAACAAATGTTAGATATGTCCTGGAGAAAGTGCAGCCAAAATGCTCCTTGTAGGCCAGCATGATAAAGCTTCATCTTAAAAACCTCAGGCATGCTGGTAGAAGAGGCTGTTTCTTGAAGCAGGACATCATTCTTGGGCAGGTGTAGGGTTGTCAAAAGAAAGGAAGACCCTCAACCAGATGGATTGACACAGTGACTGCTGTAGTGAGCTCTAGTGTCAGGCTAATTGTGAGGCTGGCACAGGCTAGGACAGGGTGTAGATCTGTTGTTCATAGGGTCGCTGTGAGTTGTACTGCACTCAGTAGCACCTGACAACTGGCTCAGAAATTTCTTTGCTTTGGGTCAATGACTACAGTAGATTTCAACTAGGATTGCCTACTCTCCCCAGTTATCTCGTCCTAGTTAAGGGTCAGCCAGGGTATTGTAACAGCTGGCTGCTTCTGTACAGATTTCATCTGCCCGTAGTCATGTGTCCTCATTTATAGATTGCTTATGCCTGATTGTGTGCTGCAGAGTCAGAGCTCCATTCCTGCCACAGAGCCCATGATGTGTGGCTTTCCCTTGGCAGAACATGGGTAGACCTCTGTTGTAGTGCTCCTGTGTGCTCCCAGTCAGTTGTGGAAAGCTCTGAAGCTTCCCATTCTAACCCGGGCATGCCACCCACTCCTTCCTCTGGCTCGAGTGTGCACAGAACACCTTCTGCAGTAAGAAACATCCCTAGACACCTTGAGTGTCACCTGTTTGATGGGTAAAAGATGGGTGGGTGTGTAGGAGTGTGATCCTCCCTGAGGAGATCTGGGTGGAAAATGTTCAGCCACAGAAATGGATTACCACTTTGTTGAAGTTAACAGAAAAGAATTTATAGAGAATACAAAGCAGTGCTCCCTTTCAGAAGAGTCCTGCTCTCTGGGCCTTTGTCTGCTTTTTGCCGAGATACTAGGCCCCTAGTCAAGTGCTGCTCTAGGCTTTTCTTTCCTCTGTCTCCTTACTTGGCAGTAACCATCAGCCTCACCATCTGGCATCCGGCCTGCCTGCCTGGCACCAGAAGGGCTCATCAGGGTGTTTGCTGGGTGAACTGTCCTTTCTCCCTAGTAGCCAAGGTGGCTTCTCTATGTGTCTTTTCTTCTAGCAAAACTATCTGCTACTTCTGAATTTTTTTTTTAAATGAGATCTAAGCCTCCCTCACACACTGCTTTCTTCTCTTTGGTCTGACAGGTGGGCATTAACTACCAGCCCCCCACAGTGGTACCTGAGGGGGATCTGGCCAAGGTGCAGCGGGCCGTGTATAAGCTGAGCAACACCACAATCATTGCTTAGGCCTGGGCACGCCTGGACCACAAGTTCGACCTCATGTATGCCAAGCGTGCCTTTGTACACTGGTACGTGGGCAAAGGCATGGAGGAAGGGGAGTTCTCCGAGGCCCCGGAAGGACCTGGTGGCACTGGAGAAGGATTATGAAGAGGTGGGCGTGGACTCTGTGGAAGCAGAGGCTGAGGAAGGGGAGGCATACTAACTAGATGGAGTGCACCAGGCAGGTCTCTTCTCACCTCCCTCGGGCCACCTTGCCTCCCAGTGTGGCTGTGGCCTGGTTCGAAGTTCTCTATTAAAGGGTCTGTGTTAAGCTGTTTGTCTTTTGTCATGATGGTGGGGTAAAGCTGGCTCTGTTGCGGGGGATGGGGTGGGGGTGGAGTGGGCACTTTGAACCCAGGCACAGCAGAACAAAATGCTGTTGTGTTTTCTGAACGGCGGCTGAGTGTTCACAAAACAATAACATGTTTCTCAGAAACCATGGGAAATGCCCAGTGTTGAAGGTGTCAAAAATATATCCACCCCAAACCCTACTGCTGTTAAGTATACCCAGAATCAAAGTGACCCTCCACCTGGTTTCTTTATGAGAGGAAATGGCCCATTTTTCTCCTGTTATTTGTGACTCTGAAAAACCCTCCAGTGGTTTTTCAAAGGCTGTAAATTGCATGGGAGAAGACTGCTCATCCTTCTGCAGAGTAGCTGGTGGATTGAACTGCATGCCTTTGAGACTGCATCATAGCTCCTTACCCCCAGACTTCCCTAGAGAAGCAACAGGTAGATCCAAATTGCCAAGTTTTCTGTCAGCAGCATGACATATTATGCACATTAGTACAGACCCACTACATTCTAGGAAAACCAAGTTAGGATCTTAATGGTCTTTGCCATGTTTTGAAATTCTACATCCGTAGGATTTGCTGACTAGAAAGGTTCAAATGGAGTGTTGTCATCTGAAGTTCCTGAACAGATTTAGCAGACAGATGGCTGGTGGGCAGGCATAAAACCCCCACAACCCTAGGCCCAATGTGTAATGCCAGGATATTTCTTTCTGAGAATTTTAGCTCTTCTTTTATTCTCTTGCTCTCTCCCTTTTAATTTATACTAGTTTATTTACAAAATTTGAAGACAATGTTTTCAAAATCAGATTTTCAATTTCCCTTGAATTCTCTGTGGCATTTACAGTCACGCAGGTCTAAGCCACAGGTTATAGCAGAAATTACCTAATTGTTCCATGATAATTTGAAAGACAACTTTCTCCCCTCCATGCTTAAACAAACTAATGCCATCATCGTTTAAATGGTTTTAGCAGAGAGCATCACACCTTTGAATTTTAGCAAGATAGAACAATGTAAGACCAGTGGTGCTGTTAGCTACCAGTGGTCGAGTTAGCTACTCATTAGCTACCTCGTGTACAGGATGAAACCTGCCTGATCCAGCACCACCCAGTATTCTCTGCTGTGCAGTCAGTGTATCAGTCCAAGCGTATCTTCCTCCAGGGAAAGGCCCCCCACCCCGGTAATATGCTCAGGTTATGTAAAACTTCTCACCACCCTTACTTTAAGGAACACGCTGACAACTTCTTCCGAGACAAGATCTGTTTGTTCTTTTGGAAGTGTATATTCAGTGCACTTCACCAGCACCGCAGATCAAAGGCATAAATTCTTGCATCTTCCTTATCCTTTCAATTTCACATGCATAAGAAGCAAATGAAAATGCCATGGTTGAGGTCAGGTGACAGCTACTCTTTTGGTTTAGCAAGAGGCCCTGGGCAACAGACCATCTGAATGCTGATTCCATGGGCATTGATACAAGTAAAATGAAATCCTTGACATCATTCTTTTCTCCATTGATCATGATTTTTATTGGTTCCCTTGTTAGTGCCTGTGAAACCTGCCCTAACTCACTTCTGTATCATCTTCAGATCACCAAGCATTTCTTTCTAGTCTCAGTCTGGCTCCTGCACAGAAACCTGTTCAGCAGTCAGCAACACACAAACCTCTGGACAGATGGGACCCTGCTACCAGGAGGTGTGTTCGCTGGGAACTGAAACCTGATCTACCATTAAGGAGGTGTGAATTCCACCACTAGCCACTTTAAGACTATCTGGAAGTTAATTTTAACTCACAGCCACTTTGTTAGACCTGAAAGTGAGTCCCAGAAAGGCCAAGTGTACCTTGCCAGGGACCAGACTCTGAGCTGCTACCCCTAACTCCTCACTTAGTTAGCTGGCCATTATTCAAAAAGTAACAAAACATCTTGACTAGAGCCTTGGATTTTCAGAAAGGTTTATTATAAACTCTAAGGATGGTAGTACAAGAAGCCACTTCTGCCTTGCTTGTCTTAGGTGCTGCCTTGAGTGGGGCTCTTCTTGGGCCCAGCCCCCTTGGGCAGCCTGGTGGCACTGGACTGTCTTGGCATCCTCTGGCTGGCTCCCTCCCGACTGTTCCGTTCTGCCAGGCCTGAAGTTCCACCAAGTGTGGCACTGCCTTTGTTTCTCCCTGAGTGGAACACAAAACTTGCTGTTAGGAACCAAGAAAACCCTGTAGTCAAAGACCACCAAGCTCACCATGCTCCTGGAGCAACATCTGTGTGTTGTTTTACAGCTGGGTCAGCAGGAACCACAGGTATAGACAGCCTGACAAAGATGTCCTTTAGAGGAAAAGCAAGTTGCAGAGTGGTTAGGGCAGCAGAAGGTGCAAGTCGGCTCCAGAGAGGATGTGTCACAGCTAGCTGTGGAGGGAAGCTCATGATCAGGGCCATGTGGAGTTGCTGCAGGCCTAGAAGGAAGCCCACCCTCCAGGTGCTCTTAAAGCCTCCAGAACAGTCAAAATGCCCCTCTGTACTGCTGCAAGGACCTGTGAGCCTCCTCCACACTGCCCTGGGACCTGTAAGCTGGAATCCCCTCTGCACTGTCCCAGGGATCTGAGAGCAGGAAGCCCCCCTCTGCGCTGCCCCAGGGACCTGTGAGCAGGAACTCACTCTGCACTGCCCCAAGGACCTGTGTGCAAGAAGCCCCCTCCAAGCTGCCACAGGGACCTGTGCGCAGGAAGCCCCCTCCAAGCTGCCCCTGGGACCTGTGAGCTGGAAGCCCCCTCTGCACTGCCCCAGGGACCTGTGAGCAGGAAGCCCCCTCCGAGCTGCCCCAGGGACCTGTA